ATAGATTTGGATCATTTATCAAAATGTTGCAAAATTTCTCGCTTGAATTGGTCAAATTATATTTTAGGCTTAATGCAGATTTTAAAGTTTTAATGGTCAACTGCATATTTTTTTTTTTTTTTAACTGTCCATATTTTATTTATACTAGAAAAAACATGTTCTGTTGCTGCAATTGTTCCTGGAAGGGAGAGAGTATGTTCTAAAATTTTCAAAATATTTTCATAAGGAATATTATTCTCCTTAAAATGAAGGAATAACTCCATCCATTTTTGTCTGTTTCCACATTTGCAGATAACCAACATTTAGTTTTTTCATCAGTAACGTATCTTTTTACCAATGACACTTCATCAAAAAGATAATTTTCGATAATATTATTTTTTGGAAAATGGTTACTAAGATACTAAAAATATTTTTCCACATATTCCCATAAAATCTCCTTTTCTAATGTCACCCAATGAAAGTTTTTAATATCCTTGAATTGAACTGTCATTTCTTCAAGATATTCCAAGCAGTTACTAAAAGAATTTCTGACTTCTTTCAGAAAATCAGGTCGCTTAATATGCCACCTTGTTCTTCCAACCTAGTGATGTCCTTTCGAATAACTGAAGAAACGTAATCGTTATCAATTCTTTCTCGCAATTTTGTGTTTAAATTATTGATTACCTTCGACACTTCCGTAATTGAAATTTTGTCTCCTTCAATAATTTTCACAGCATTGTGAAATAATGTAGCTTCGTTGTGGATGAAATGAAGATAAATTTGTGATGTGTCATTTTCAAAAAACAGTTGCAATATTCTTGAACATCTATCTTGTGTTAAAAAGTATGATTTTAATGGTTCGTATATTTTAAAAATGTTTTCTATAGCTGGTAAAAGAGCTAGCCATTGTGTTTTTGTTGTAGCCAACAATTCTTTTATATTCGATTTCTGCACTTTCACAAAAATCCTTCAAACTTTCGACACGCACAGTATATATATATATATATATAAATACGAATAAATTTTTGAAATAATATTTTCAACATCTACTGGAAGTAAGTCAGATGCTGTTTGAATAGTATTGTGTAGAATATGTGTTGCACAACCTAGTCAAATTTTGGTTCAAAAGTTCGTTAAGTTTTGTAAAAACGTTATCGATGCTTCTTCTAGCTTTTCCACGAAAATTTGCATTAGTGTCAACAATAAAATTATTGCCTCACAATAAGCAATAATTTTATTATTACAATTATTCTTTTTTAAAATAGTACTTATTGAATAAAAAATTATTTATGAAGTTTCACCCAGAAGCTGCCCAGATGGTATAATGGTTAGTAGAGCCTGACTGCAATACTGAAGAGTCTGGGTTTGAATCCTGGAGAAGGCATGATTGTAACTGTATGTCCCTTCATAGGAGGCAATGATGGCCCACCTATTAGATGTCTCCATAATAAAGAGACCACTACATCTGGCCTTTGTTTAAATTAATAGATTCTGTTGCAAAACTATAACTGTTCACAATCTGCCAATGGGGAAAAAAAAGGTTCACCGGCATTGAAACAAAATCTAATATTCCAATTTTAATTCCTGTTTCTGGATCAAAAAGTGTAACATTGTGGGAAATAATTTTAAATCTTTGTGGTTGGAAGCATCATAATATATAATAATAATAATGTGCATTTATCTAATTCTTTCTGCGATTATGAAAACGAATATTGTGAAAAAACATTACAAATAATTGCTTCAGTTTTTGTCCTTGCATGTGCAAATTTTTTGTCGTACAATGTTTTAATCATTTGCGACATACAATCTATTGATCTGAAACTTTGATTGTGGTTTATGGTGTGGAAAGCAAATAGCCCTTCAGCTAATGCTCTGTTCCTCCATTAACAAAACATACTGCTTGATGAGACGTAACGACAATGATCGAACACGACCGAGTAAATCTAACTTGTTGCATCACCTAATTTAGTTTACTCTGCATGCATTTTATGTATTTTTTTATTTCTTTATATTCACTATAATAATTAATAAATAATAGATAATATATTTTTTCAGTGCATTTAAAATAAGAAATGCAGATGTTTTCTAAAAAGCGGGACATTTTTCAAAATCGGCGGGAAGCGGGATTATGACACCAAAATCGGGACGTGTGGTCACTTTATTCTAGATAGATCAACCAATTTTCTAGAAAACCCAAATTCCAGCACAGGTTTAAATAGCTTTTCATGGTTTATACTACCATAAACCGTCTTAAAATCAATAAAAAAAGATAAAAGGTATCAATATTATGTTCAATAGTTTTTTCCAAAATTTGTCAAATGTATTTGTCTAATTTGATAAATAGTAGATGACAACAAAGTTAGCATTCTTATTTTATGTTGTGTTACCTTAGATATAATCCTGCGTTATCCATTAAAATTTATTCTGCAGTTTTTTGTGGATTTTATATAAAAAAAAAAAAGAAAGAAAGAAAGAAATGCGTTTACCAAAAGGCTCGAATTTTTTTTTTTTTTTTTTCCAAACGAAGAAATCGGTCGATCTTTACAATATGGTAACTGGTAGTTTGGCGACATTTTGGAGGCGATAAAGGTTACTACCTGGGACTTTGGTAATAATGTGAGCAGTACTCAGTTCCGATTACGCATTATTTTGTGTGGGGGAAATGAGAGATCATGGGATATGTCATGTGATATTAATGGACGAATTACGGTTCTTTAATCGGAAAAGGGGGGGGGAATTTGGACAAGTATCTGTGGATGTATATTATTTTGTATTAAGCTTCATTGTGTGTTGTGTGAAGTAGGGTTGAATAATTTTGGGATTGTATGGCGCTGTCTAAAGTGAATTGTAGATGTGATAAAGAGAATTTTTTTTTTATCAAATTCTATCAAATTCAGAAAAAAAAAATCGTTCAGTAATTTTATTGAATCCATAATAAAAGTGTATCCACCATGTAAGGAAGATTCGGAAGAAGATTAGGTTAGTTAGACTTTGTTAAGAATGTGAGTAGTAATCAGTTCTGATTACGCATTATTTCGTGTGAGGGAAATGAGAGATCATGGGATATGTCATGTGAAATTAATGGACGAATTACTGTTCTTTAATCGGGAAAAAATCTGGCAATTTTGTATTTGGCTTTATTCTGTGTTGTGTGATATAGTGTTTGTGAATTTTTGGATCCCATGGCCGTAACTAAAGTGAATTCGAAATGGGTATTTAGTGGTATTGAAAAGGATAGTAATAAATGTTTTTTAAGGTTGTGCGAGAGAGAAATAAAGATGTTTTATTATGTTATTTATTTTATCTGGTATCTTGCTTTGAAAGATAAGTATGATTTTAAAGATTCTGAAACAGAAGGAAGAAAAGTGTATCCGCCACGTAATCAAGATTCTGAAGAAGATTAGGTAAGTTAGTATTTTTAATTATTTGAGGATATTATTTTCATGCATTGTTGTAAATGTAAGGTGGAAAGGAATTTGGTATTATTGGGAAAATTGTTATTAGCAATGATTTAGTTTAAAGTAATTAGGATTGTAAGGTAATTTTTATTAATTTAATGTATGTGCTCATTTATATTTTAAGTAGTGTTTTTGAATTTAATTATATTTTAATGAAATGATAGTTATTTTGTGAATTTTATGTTTGTAGGAATTTGGTATACGTTTAAGTTGAAATAAACGTGCATGGAAATAATTTAAATATTTGATATTAAGTATTTGTAATGCTTGAGGTATGAATTCGTTGGTGACGTGTATAATGTAATAGATGATTTAGAGGTAAAAGTTTTGGGATATTCTATTTATTTTATATGTGGAAATGTTGATATTTGTAAATGGTAAATACTTTTCGCGATCATGTAATTTCATATATGTTCTTTTTACCGGGTTTAAAGATTGAGAAAATTGTCATGTATTTTCGTGAAATTTATTAATTTATGAGAAAAAAGCAGTGTACATGGATATAGTGAAGAGTGTGCGCAATGCCATTTTTGTGCAATTCTGGGATGTTTTTTTAAGTAAAAATAAGTCGACGTGTACATGGTTTAGTGATATTTTAATGAAATGATAGTATTTTGTGAATTTTATGCTTGTAGGAATTTGGTATACGTTTAAGTTGAAATAAACGTGCATGGAAATAATTTAAATATTAGATACTAAGTATTTGTAATGCTTGCGGAATGAATTCGGTGACGTGTATATGTAATAGATGATTTAGAGGTAAAAGTTTTTGGATATTATTTATTTTATGTGGAAATGTTCATATTTGTAAAGGATAAATACTTTTTCGCGATCAGGTAATTTCATATATGTTCTTTTTACCAGGTTTAAAGATTGAGAAAATTGTCATGTATTTTCGTGAAATTTTCGTAATTTATGAGAAAAAACCAGTGTACATGGATCGTGAAGACAAAATGGCGGCGGGGAAAAAAAAATAGAGGGTTGCTGTAGGAGAGTTGGTCGCCAAATTTTCGCTAAAAAATCGCCAAGTTACCATAATGTAAAGATCAACCAAGAAAACTTATGTAAAACAAATCATTCATGCCTTTATATGTTTGAGATAGATTTATAACTTTCAGTACTGTTTCACATATTGGAAGAAAACAATTTTGTTGAATATTAAAACTTCAGAAAAAAAGATTTGATAGTAAAAGATTGGTATGTACGCATTCCTTATTTCAATTTTATTATTCAACTTATTAAAAAAAGTATATTCTTTCACACATTAGTAAACCATACGATTAACAAAAAAATATGCTTATTAAATTCTACGACTCTATACTTATAAAATTTAAGCCAGTTCAATGCTTCCAGATACAGAATTCTGTAAAAATAAGCATTCCCACTTATACGCCAAAGTTTATTTTGGAGACGTTTAAACATCCAACGATTTAAACAAAATGCTGATACGAACTTTCTACAGATTGAAAAAGCTTGATGAAATTATATTCAATTGATAACATTTCTACCGTCTATATCAAACTGAAATCCTAACCTCTTTCTTACAATATATCAAAAATATACCTTTTTTTCTGGTAAGACTTCTTCTACACCGTTAGGATGCCACGCCACTCGAATATGTCCTTTTTTCATACGCTCCCAGTCTTTATAATCAGGGCCGTCAGATTCTTCATCATCACTGCTTATAAATTCAGAATTTTCTAAAACTAAACCTACATCAACGAATTTTTTCTTATTAATCTTGTATACAGCATCTTCGTCGAAGAACTTGCATGCAGAAGCCATGATGAATGAGATCGAAACTGAGGAGGTTTAGGAAAAATAATACTCAAGTTGCCAAATGGAAAAGCTAGAAAGTTTTTTGTTTGGAAAATAACGTGAAGCTCAGATTTTCTTATGGAATGCCAAAAAAAATGTTAATTTCTTCATTCTTATTTTCAATATATTACAAAATACATCATTGACATTTATATTTTTCAGAATGCTCAGTTGCAAACAATATTCAAACTGTTGCATGTAGTCTTTTAACTTCAATTATATCGTTTTAAAATAAGTTTTCATGATAAATGTTTTAGTATTTTATTTCAAGTGGTAAATATTACGCTTCGTTTCCATACATAAGTCTTGTATATATTTGAATTAAGTATATGAAATGAGTATAGGGTATGAATAGCCTTATATCAGGGAGTTTACATCTAAGTATCGCACTGGAATTATTTAAAGGGCTGAATTTGTAAACAATGGCAGCTCCTATACCGCGGTATGCCAAAGGCTTGCTGTTGAGTTCTCGCCTAGTAGGCAATAAGAGATATACGCCGGTTAGATATCGTGTAACGACAGAAACTGGAGCATTTCTGCCAGAGCCCAAGAAAACGCCTTTTGGATTCATGCGTGTGCTGTTAACTGTTTTGCCCGGGTTATATCTTGGAGCTACCATTAGTAAAGAAGGAGCAGCATTTTTGGAAGAAAATGATATATTTGTTCCTGACGAAGATGATGATGAAGATTGATAATGAAGGGGTTTACGAAATTTTATTTGATGTTGTCTAGTGAAACAAGTAGCAACGTTTCAGTTTCTATAGATTTCTGCTCATTTCCAAGTTTAATATTTTATTTGGCAATTAATTCCATAACAGTTTGAATGAACTATTAGTTGATGAAATACGCATAAATCATTTATACTCTTTTACCTACTAACGTATCACATTTTCAAAAATTAAGCAACTTGTATATAGAAGAAATAAATATGTTGGCATTTGTTTTCTGTATTCATCAAGATTCAAGATAGCTTCTCTTGTTAAGCTGAAATTTAATATATATATATATACTCTTTTACCTACTAATGTATATGTATGTATGTATGTATGTATGTATGTATATATATGCATACTAATATACGTGTATATAGAAATGTAGAAAAATAAAATGAATAATATGGAAACATCAAGTGGTTAAATATTGTAATTCATAAATATTTCTTTAGTTTTTTTTACTCATCATTATATGAGATATTTTCATGTGCTTACAGAAAATTTTCTGATACATGTAATATAATTTTCTGGTAGTAAAATCGCAAGTAAAAGCATAACAATTTGATATGATTACAGCTTGCTTCTTTTAAATAATTAAAACTTATTTTTTTGGTTTTTTAAAGGTTGGAGTGGATTAATCGATTGTGGTAGAGCACATGAAAACTGCTTGCAAATATCTCTGAGTTAAAAAAAAATTAAAATAATACTGCCTTAGGTTACATGGTTTCTTTAAAAATAATTTTCTTCATTTATCTTTTTTTTTTTTTTTTTTTAGTTAGTAATCAGCATGTTTGCTTCTTAAATCATAATTTAATATTTGAAGTGGAGTAAGCAAATTTAAATCTGTTATCTTTAATAAGTGGTAAAAATCATGATTTTAAAAGAAAAGACTATGCATGTGTAAAAACAAATTTTCTTTTTTCTTGAAAAAAGAGATTTCGCACTTAAATACATTTAGTCTTCTCCCCTCCTCACTTTCAGCAATTGCCAATTAACTGTTAAATTTTATTGATTGCTTATGTTTTATTCATATAGAAGTTGTATTTTTAACATTAATGTTTTGACTTTCAAGCAATCTTATGTTATTTATCTGTTGCATGTAAACACACGCATTGAAAAATGTATATTTAAATGGAAAGAAAATTTAATGTAGGTGTTTAGAATTCAATCTGAAATTATTTAATGTCATTTCACTATCAAAATATGTAAACATTAGAGATATGGAACTTAAGTAGGGACATTTTACCATTGCCAGCCATTGCCAAGGTCATTTATAACACTCAGGTTACTTCTGCTTTAGAAATAAATTATCACACATGAGATTCCTATTTTTTAAAGTCCTTCCAATTAGGATCAGTGTAGCAGATGACTGATAGGTTCAAAATTCTTTCTCTTATCTGCAGATGCATAATTTTTTAAAAAATGCTTTTTCCCCCCTAGCTGAAAATAGACGCATTTGAATAAAAACTTAAGGTAAAAGTATATTTTACGGTACCCCTTGGCGCAACTTGGTGATTTTTGGTGGTACATGGATGCCGAGTTTGTGCAATTCTTTGAATTGTTATTTTGGCTTGCATAACGGCGATTTTTTTCGCCAAAAATTGCCGCTACACAAAGCCAAAATAACAAGACAAAGAATTGCACAAACTCGGTATCCATGTACATATCGACCTATTTTCACTTTAACAAAAATTCCCGAATTGCACAAAAATGGCATTGTGCACTCCCTTGACTTTATCCACGTACATGTCGACCTATTTTCACTTAAAAAAAATCCAAGAATTGCACAAACTTGCATTGCACACTCCCCTTTACTTTGTCCATGTACACATTGATATATTTTCACTTAAAAACTCAAAGGACCACCCATTTCTACAGTAGAGGCAAACAAAAATTTCATAATCTCAATAAACTGCATTTTAAACCAAACAATAAAATAACATAAAAAGGAAAAACACTAAGACACAATAACATCCCGAACAAATACTAATTCAGAAGTCAAACAACAAAAAGCAGCAGTATGTTTTCAAATTTTCACTGTGCAAATTTGAAAATATAACGCTGATTTTTGTTGTTTGATTTCTGAAAGGAAAAACATGTTATACATTTAAGCGCTACAAAAAGCAAATGTCCACTTACCCTATTTAGAAGTTCCTTTGTCTTTAGTCTTTGGCACACAAAATTCCTTAACAGCATCCAAAAACCTCCTAAAATTATCTGAACTCGAATCCGTATATCGGCGTCTCCACATCTGAAGGTCACTTTCTTCCTAAAAGCCCTTTTAAATCCATCTAAACGGTTTTTACGTTTGGTTAGACGCATATCCTTCCTACATACAGGACATTTATAATGGCTACTTTTATACTCTTTTTCCCCTTTCGTTTGAAATTGTACAGAAACTTCACATTAATCTTACTACATTTAGCCATTCTACTGTCTAAGCAATAAAACCAACACACACCACAAAGTGCTTACAAAACATCTCATGATTCAAAATTTCGCAGAATCATGCACCTGATTACATCATAATAGGGTTTCCATAACATTCAACTACTCAGGCTACCATAAATGAAACAACAACTTCGCCATAATACAAGGGCGCCATAATACTTAACCCTCTGAGCGGCTAGGGTTTTCGCTAAGAAAGCACAAATTTCCAAAAACTACTATGAGAACAAATGACTTTTTTGATTTTAATGTAAAAACTCTCCTGGTACTTCATACCTGGATTTGTTTTCTTTTGATATATTGCTTTAATTTGTTTGAAATATTTTAATATGCACGTATATATACGTTCTTACAGATATCACAAAAAAATATTCTAGCGGCAAGGCCGTATTTAGCCCCCTAGAGGGTTAAAGTCTACTCTAACCAAACTTTATTTTATAATACACAGAAAAAATGAAATGAGCAAAATTTCAGGCAAGCATCTTGTAAATGTTATTTGCATCTTTATCATTTTTGTCAAACAAGATGCTCACAAATGTGCACAGTGTTCATATTAAAACTTCCATGTTTATTTTCCTCCGTAAGTATTTTTTGCTTTAAAAATGTTAGTGTATTTATATCATGCATCTTAATAATGAGTTAATTTGAAGCAATTAATAAATATCAGATTTTAATTGTGGCTCTCAGCATGCTTTTAGGTAAGAATTGCCTTTATTATATTCATATTTTTCTGGAACACTGCATTTCTGACTATTCAAAAGAATGGAAATCAATTGCATAGGCTGTATCTCTATGAAAGACGAATTATATATAGATACTGCCAAACTGGAAAATAGTGTTTGCCAGTACCATGAATGTGATTTTATTACATATAGCAACTATTTAAACTGCTTTCTATGTTTTCTGCATTCATCTCTATTATTACCACGTCTATTTCCATCATTGAGCACCATTTAGCACTGGCTATTATTTTAATTTTTAATATGGCAGGTATGCATAGATAGAATTAGTTTTCTTGAGTTCAAAAACATTATTAGAAAGTAAGATGCTTACATGCAATGGTATATAGCTGAAGATATATAAGCATGCAAGAAAAAGAAATGTTTTAAAGGTCTTGGATTATATCTTAATAGACATAGTCATTATTGACTAATCAATTTATAATGTAATTTCCTGTTTAACAGTGTTTAGCAACAATTCAGTTTTCTTCCCCTCTTTTTCTTTAGTACTTTTTTAACTCTTTGTGGGCACACCTAAAGATTTCCTTCTGTGCGCACAGAAAAATTGAATGAAAAAGGATTTAGAGGTTAGGTTTCTCTGAACCTTCTGTATTTATAGTAGACGGCATCTCAACACAAACCAGTCCATATATTTTAGCCATGTTTGTTTAAGACCCTCATTTTTCAAAAAAGTATTCCAGATTTTTTTTAGGGTGTAAAAGGAATTGTTTGAAAAGGAATTCCTATTTTATTATTATTATTTTTGGCTGTATGCTAATCTCCTTATTCTATATTAGTTTTAATTTTTTCCTTGAAATCTTGCTTAAAATTGAACGGCGAACCCGAGGTGTGCTCAGACCGGGCGAACCAAGACTCTAGGACAACTGAGAGACTGTATTCTTTGTTTCGCCGCACATCATCAGTCAGTTCATTGACAACAGAAAGGAGGTTCACATCTGTGTTTCATTTCCTGTTTCTCTTTTTTTTTTTTTTTTTTTTCTGAGAGGATGTTTGGTTATTAACTAACAAATTATTGGGGTGATTTTCTGAAGGTCAAGGGTAATTTTATCAGTTAGCTGTTTGGTTTTTCACTAGAGCAGTTCTCTTTTTCTCTTTTGCTTTCGTTCAAAGTTTCGCTAGTGCTATGTT